ACTAGAACCCGGGGTGCCGGTGCCACAGGCAGAGGATTAGCCTAGTGAGCCGTGGTGCCGGCCATTATTAAACTTTTCAATTTTTGTCCCTCTTATAAGGGTGTTGTTGACTCTTTCCATTTTAATTTGCATTTTCCCTTATGAATACTGAGTGAGCGTTGTTTGAATATACTCTTGTAAGGGGCTTCTTCATGAACTCGCCCGCCCCTCCACCAACTGATTGTCTTGTTCTTTACATGGGGAGGTGGAGTCATATTTTGACTGATAGTCTTTGACATATTACTGCAAATATCTCCTTCCACACTCCGGCTCACCTCCTCACTGTCCTGATTGTGACTAGATAAACACGAGGAGTCAAATTTAGCAATTTTCCTTTAGGGGTAAACCTGTTGCTGTTGGTTTGAGCAACTGTCCCCACTCCAGGGTTGTGGAAACCTCTGGAGATACTGCTGTTTGAGTCTCATGTCTGGGAGCTGCAGTGAAACTGGGATTGGTTTCTGTGTGTGGTGCAGTGATGCTGAAATAAATGTGCTTAATCGACACACAGCTGGCAGTCGCTGTGGTCAACGCTGGCAAGACAATGTGAGCCGTTTCCCACAGGACACAATTTCTATTTCTACGGATAGGAATCACTGGAATTAGGTGGGCAATGAAAGGTGTGGAGACCCGATGAGATCAGATCATCTGGACAGCTGTTAGCTTATTCTGTATGAGTCTCTACATTCTCCTTTGAACCAGTTACAACATTGTTTTTTTAAGGACCATGTAGCGCTTCTAATTTCCTCTTTGTCCCTTACCACTCCTCCTTCATTGTGTACTGCAGAGTTCGTCCCAGGTTTTTCTGAAGTCTCTGCACCCAGGCAGTCAGTGCAATCGTGAGTGCCTGGGCCTTGGGGCTGGTTGGTGCTGGGGATCCAGCATGGCTGCCCGTGCACCAGAGGTTGTTGGGAAGAAAACAGTGATTGACAGGTAGGGCATGGCTTGCACTTAGCAGAGAAATGCACTTACTTGGGATTAGCTCGTTGCTCCATCCAGCAGTAAACATTCTTCCCACGATGCTAAGTAGAGGAGCATTTGTTTACTCATTCGATAAACTTGAATTTCTACATAGTTTTTGCTGAAAGCAAGCTAGACCTGTAACCTAGAGAACAGTGTGACAAACAAGATCAAAAAAGACATCTTTAAAAAAAGAATTGCATCGTTAGCTGTCTCGTGGATCAGTTATTTCTTTGTTTTATTTAGGAGCATAAAAAAACAGGTACATCTCTAGGCAGATTGTTGTATTCATGCAGATGAAACTTTTATTCTTTCAAATGTGATACAGTCATTTAATTTTCACATTAGCAGTGTGACTCGTTGACATAATTATGTACACACAGTCATATACTATATATATAAAAATAAATTAAGCTTTTGTACTGAAACACAAGTTTACAAATGCAGCTTTTGAAACTAATGAAAAATAAGAAATGTGGAGATTTCTGAGAGGCAGAATCTCTCTGGAAGAAGAAAAATATCTTTACAAACTAAAGCACATCAGTTTTTAAATGTCAATTTTATAATTCTATATATTTCTGAATCATAAGAATGTTCTGCCAGAAAGTCAGATGTCACCCAAGCTGACGGTGAGGTTAAACGTCCTTTAAAGGTGAAAGTGTGGAGGCCCCTGGTAGGCCTCCTCCTTGTTTCCATACACAATTCATCACTGAGGGGCCCTCAATCAGCAATGCTGAAATTTTATGCTCAGCCATCTGTTAAGTGAATGTAGAAAATCTTTGTATCCCTTGAACAATGCTAAATTGAGGTCTAAAATTTTCATAAAAAGTTGCAGAAGATGTAAGTGCTGGCATATTATAGATGCTATATCTTTGTTTAAAACTGTTACGCTCCCTTTTAAATTTAGCCAAGAGGCTCTGAACATAATATTTACTGAAGAGACACTATCGTGCTTTCAAAAACTGCATGAACCAGGCATCTGTTAAATAGAAATACCACATCTTTCACATTACTCCTTGAATACATGCTTTTATATAATTTCTTCCTCGCAACTGTAGCTTATTTTTGGCTCATACACTGTTTAACTGTATCTCTAACAAAATTATATAAAAATCTGTCATCCTAAGGCCATCAGTCTTTAAAATTCGTCTTCAAGATGGAGCTTAATCAATAGACATGTCGTACAAACTTGAACAGATGACGAAGCAAAGTTTCGTTGGAAATCTCTAACTGAATCCGGTGAAGAGGCCTCTCCCCCCTGGCTGTCTGTAGATGGGCATGTAGGCAAGGTGCAGCATCACTTCTGCATGATGCAAGGAGGTGTTGGTGATCCCCGGTCACACAGCTAAGCCGCTGGGAGAAGTTCAGTGATGGCAGAAGCACAGAATGCTTCCCACCCCTCTGCAGTTACACTGACGTAGAAACGTACGGGGTTCGCCTTCCCTTTTGTTAAAAGGAAAAGAACAGGGAACCGGCAGATCTGCAGAAGGCCAGGCACCCTGGGTTATGTCTTTCATGTCTCCTGTTTGGGTTTTTACCCTGTGGTTCTTGCCCACAGCAGACAGGAGACGGGGAAGGTAGGGTTTGCTTTTTCAAGGAGAGAGGAGGCCATTTTCTGAGCCAGATGAGTCTTAGGAAGGCGAAGACCTGAAAACCCATCGCCTGAAGGTGCTGGTGCTGTGTTCCCGGGAAAGCTGGGGTGGCCGGGGAGAGGCTGGCTGGTCCCAGCCTGGGGGCCTCAGCCAGATTCTCACCGGGTCACAAAGCGTGTGAGTGACAGACTGAGGCCCGCCACCTTCTCTGCGGGGCGGCCGCCCTCAGCTTTCCCACCATGCACCAGTCCCGTGCGGCGCCTCTCGGGGGGTTTGAGAAATGTGATCTTGTCCCCCTCTTAGCTCTCGCACACGCAAGCCTCGCCCTGGAAACGATTTCACTGAGTCCTAACTAAATTTCCCAAACTGGAACGATGCAGCCAGCCTTCACCCCGCCTTTGATTTTTTCACTCAACAACCAATATGCTGAATACTGCTCTGGGAGCAGCTATGAACAAAACAACACAAGCCACACGCAGTCAGGCTTCAATCCGGCAGTGCTGCAGCCATCTTCCAGAACATTCCTGTCCCTGGGCTGCTCAGCCAGAGTTGCCTGCGCTTTAACAGTGCTGTGACCAGTGCATCTCAGCCAGTTAGGTTATAGCGCATCCTGGCCAGCCCAGGATGTCACCTGTGCGAGGAATGACTTGGGTCCTCACACTAGAACTATATGAGGTGTAACCCTATTAAGGGTAGCATGGAAGAATGAAGACAGTCCCTGTAGCAGTGGGAACAAGCTGCGGTAGCCCTGGGGGAGGAGACGGTGGCAGGTGGAGGGCTCTGCCCAGCACCATTTATAATAGAGCCCACGCCTGGGCTCCCTCTGCACGGGGATGGCCGTACTGGGGCAGCTGAGGACGAGGGAGTCTCTTCCCTCTGTTCCTCCATTTCCCAATTCCTTAGATAGAGCAGGATAAAGTCTGATTTATGCAACAACAACAAAAGGATGCAGGCCTTAGAACCTGGGCTTTGAAATTCGGTGAAGTGTGGAGCCGAAAACAGGTTGTGACAGCAACACCTGAGCTCTATGGTGCAGAGGTAATGACAGAACCGAGAGAGAGTGGGAGGAGTCACCATGTGCAATAATTAGACTCCTGTGCCTACCAGGGCCCTGGCTACAGAGTCTGGCAATTCCTGCCCTGCAGCATTCAACAGTGGCCTTGAACGTCGGCTGTGATGACACGTGGCCTGGCTGGCTGGCAGATACAGCAGCATCTCCCAGCTGCAGCAGCAACTGAGGTAAGGTCACGAGATAGTGGCTCCACCCAGTCTGACGGCCATCACCTGCTTGCCTGGCTGTAGGGCCGGCAGATGGCTTTCTTCCAGAGCTCACGGGTGGGGCTGGTCCATGAGACCAAAACTGCTGCCCCAGACCTTGGTGCCGTGCAGGCCAGATGGAGGTGCCCAGTAAGTGTTGGTAGTAAGAGCGGATGGGGTCTTCACACAGAGCATGGCTGGTTTTCACCTGCTCCCCAGCAACATGTGTATGCTATGTGCAGCATTTTGGGTAACTAGAGGAAGGCTAAGTGGGCTTCCCGGAGCCAGCTCCATCTCAGGGAAGCGCCAGTCTTGCTGGCTGCTGTCTCCCATCACACTCGCTACTTCTCAAAGTTACACCTGGTTTCCGCTAAGCCAGTTCCAGTTCACTGAGAAGCTGTGACTTGACCGACCAACCTCACACAGCACTAGCCTCTCCTTTAAAAAGCCTGTTCAATCAAGCAAATTTCGTCTCCAGATGTAGGCAGACAACCCTAGGCAGCCGCATGTAGTACCATTAAGAAGGTAGGTCTGTCCCTCTGAGGAGGATTTCAGCTGAGGCCTTCTCTAACATTGTCCTGCCCAAGCTTCTAGCACCCAGAGAAGCGCTGCACAGAACCTCACCTTCATCCGAGTCTGCAAACCAGCTCTTGACCTCCTGTCTGCGGACGGAGAGCCCTCCGAGAGGGCTCCACTCTACAGGAAAAGCCTACCTCTCTCTGGGGTGATGTACTGCCTGAAACCAAGAAGCCCCAATACTTCCAGACCCTCCCCAGCCACCCTCGTCACACAGGGTCTCTATCGCTATTTACAAATTGTCTTAATGAACAGATGCCGTCACCCATCCATGTCTCGGGGACAGCAGCAAGTCCCTGCAGGAGGGCTGTCCAGCCAGTGACAGTCAACGGGCCCTGAGCAGAGCCCGTGCCCTGGGGGCAGGCTCCTGGGGGGAGGGGCCGCCTTATGGAACCCAACAGCTTAGATTGCCACATCACTTCCCTTTTGTTAAACTCCTTTACAGAATCTAATGAATTCGGTGCTTACACTTCCTGCTTCTCTTTGGTGAAGTCCATGACCTGTGTCATCAGAAGCAGGATCTTCTTGGGCAGAAAAGAGATCCTGTCCCCTGTGGAGGTCACGCACAGAAGGCTGCACTGACAGAGATTGGCGTTGCTTTTATTCAGTGAGGTTTGGAACACAAGAGGCCAAAACCGAGCAGCAGGTTTTTGGGTGCCTCTACAGGGAACAGAAGTGTTCATCTTGGACAGCTGTCTTAGCTGAGCAGGAAGCCACCCTGACTCACGCCGCTGGGGCTCCTGCAGGAATGTCACCTTGATGGCAGACTTGAGGAAAGGATGGTATCGCAGGTCAGCGTGTTTCCAAGGCTGCACTGGAGCCCACTCTCCTCCGTGCAGACACACCGCGCACACACCCCGGCTCCTACGAGTAAAACTTGCTGTTGCTGACTCGTTTTTCTCGTAACCTGAAAGAAAGCAGAGTCCATCACCACCCGCAGGGCACGGGAAGCCAGCTGTGTACTGAGTGTAGGTGGCATTTCTCTGTCCACAGGTTTGCAGGTCATGCAAGGTAGGTAATGAACCAGGGAGGTGGGCTTGGGGCTCTCTGCAAGACACAGACTCTGCGAGGTTAAATCTTGTCACGGGTAAAATGGGAAATAGCCACCGTGTAGGCTGATGTGAGGATTAGATAGGAACAATGTGACTCAGCGGCTCAGGACTGTGTTGCCATTGGCATTTTCATTAGGAGTGTTCTTTGTTGCTGGGTATGATTTTGGGACAATGTAAGGGGCTAGGCAACTCTGGCTGCCCCTCTACCCAACACGTGCCTGTGGCACCACCAAAGGCATCCCCTGGAGAATTCCTGCCTCTGTCTAGGACCCCTGGAGTAGTCAGTTCTTGACAACTCGGAAAAGGCTCCTTAACAGTGAGCAGTCATCACTTAACTTGGGGACTGCATGGAAGTACCCGAGAGGAGACAGTTCTATCCAGGGAAGTGGTGGACACTGGAAGTTCATTTACAGAGAACCAGAGTCCAAGCCGAGTCCCCATAGGATGTGTAAGGGAAGCAGACCGAGGCATGCCAGAAGCCCAGCGGTTTGCAGGTGGTGTGAGGTTGGCCTACCTCCGGTTGCACCTCTCCTGGTACAGCTGGAGCTGGTTTTCGTTGACATTGAACTCTTTAATGAGGGCGTCCCGGTTGGCATTGCGCAAGTTCTGGTGTGTGTCATAGAGGAAGAGTTGGTTGTTAAGCTCTTCTTGCCGCCTCCGCAGCTGGCGACAGGAGGAATACAGTTCTTCTTCACTCTCCTGGACAGGAAGGGAGAGAACATGGAGAGGTGACCACAGCTTCCAAAGCAAATCGTGCGGCATGGTTTTATTTCTTTTGAGAGGTAGAGTTAGAGACAGAAAGAAAGGTCTTCCATCAGCTGGTTCACTCCCCAGATGGCTGCAATGCTGCAGCTGAGCCGATCTGAAGCCAGGAGCTTTCTCCCCGTCTCCTGCGCAGGTGCAGGGGACCAAGCACCTGTCTCCCACGCGGGTGCAGGGGACCAAGCACCTGAGCTGTCTTCCACTGCTTTCCCAGGCCACAGGCAGAAAGCTGGAGTGGAAGAACAGCTGGGATATGATCCAGTGCCCCTATGGATGCTGGAGCTGCAGGGGGAGGCGCAGGTTACTATGCCACTGTGCAGGCCCCTCCAGGGCCTATTTGCAGCAAAGATAAAACTGTGAATTCCACATTTTAGTGGAAACTAGCAGTTTATAAAGATCTTGGATTTTCACAATGTTGCTTTCTTGTAAATAATGAAGTAACCCATCACCAGGGAGCCTCTTTCTTAATCTAATCCTCTTACGCCTTGCGCTACATCTGGCCTTTAAGTGCAAAGGTAGCTAAGCAGCTGCCTCCATAGTGGGACACAGCGAGGAGGAAGCACAGCTCAGATGTGGTAGAAAGGGGACCATCAGAGAGCCTGTGAGGGCCTCAAACGGCAAGACGGCAGGCAGATGGTGAGCTGATGCTCGGGAAACATTATGCAACGTGGGAGGACCCTGCTCCGAAAGAAACACCTTCTATGATGCCATTCGGAGAAATGCACACAACTGGCGCATTCAGAGACAGAACGTGGATTCTCAGCCACCAGGGGCCAGGAGATGGAGTGAATGGTGATGACTAATGAGCATGTGGTCTCTCTCTAGGGTGATAAAAATGTTTCAGCATTGATTGTGGTGATGGCCACGCAACTCAGTGGGATGAAAACCACTGCACATTTGAAATGGGTGACTGTATGGTATATAAATTACATCTCAAAGATATTACTGGGAAAGACAAAAAATAAAAGCCAAGGTACCCCACACCACCCCCCAGGGATAGACGTGTTGCAGCCACTTAGGATGTCTTACTGACCCACCAGCATCAGCTGTGGACACAGGACGCCAGCCAGGTACATTAGAAGCAGCTGTGTGACTTCTGTTCCTGCTCTTGGTTTAAAGATAAAGTGAAGGTCTTGTGCACTCAGTAGTGGTCCCGTCACAACCCCATGGCTGTCATGCACAGGAAGCCAGGGGTGAGGCCAGAAGAGAGGAAAACTGAGCCCCTGGGGGTGCTCTGGGTCCAGCTGTGTGCCCAGACCTACCCCAAACTCTTCAGTTGTAGGGGATCAAAACACTAAGGGCCGAGAGTGGGACACGCTATCAGAGTAAGGGGTTTGGCTTCAAGTGGGGGAAGGATGAGGCTATCTTGCCCTGCCTGTGTTTTGCAAAGACCACCGGTGCATGTGTGGGAGGTCTTAACCATTGTACGAAACACTTGCCCCCAAGTTTTGTGGTTTTTTTTTTTTTTTTTTTGGACAGTGTCGCTCCCCCTCTTCGTGGAGGAACGACACTAAACCCTGCCTAGGCTTCATATCCGAGTCACGGCACCATTATGTCGTTCCCCGTCTTCGTGGAGGAACGACACAGGACCCTGCACTGTTCTTTCATCTGCTCGGCCCTCCCCGGGTTTGCTGCTGGTTCTTCCCGGGTTGGCTACCGACCCTTCCACCTCCGTGGAAGGGCGGTTCCCCTGCCACTTTCCCCACTTCCGCAGGGGAGCGGCACACCGCCGGCCGGCTCTCTCGGGGGCTGCTCAGGTGTTCCTTCAGATAGATGTTCCCCGTGCATGTTGTCTCTCTCCTCCTTTATACCAATCCGTGCTCTGCTACCCACACGCCGAGTACGCTGCTCTCCTCCAATCAGGAGCAGGATCAGCTCCTGCAGGTCATCACTCAAGTTGGCGAGAGACAGCTGCATAGAAGCTGTTTCCTCCTCTCCCAGCGCCATATTGTGGGAGAGCAGATGCATAGAATAAGTCTCAATTCCAGTAACTTAGTCTAGTCCGAGTTGCTCCCCACAGACAGGCAGAGTGGACAGTGAGAGAGAGAGACAGAGAGAAAGGTCTTCCTTTTGCCGTCGGTTCATCTTCCAATGGCCACCGTGGCCGGCGCACCGCGCTGATCCGATGGCAGGAGCCAGGTGCTTCCTCCTGGTCTCCCATGGGGTGCAGGGCCCAAGCACTTGGGCCTTGCTCCACTGCACTCCAAGGCCACAGCAGAGAGCTGGCCTGGAAGAGGGGCAACCGGGACAGAATCTGGCGCCCCGACCGGGACTAGAACCCGGTGTGCCAGCGCCGCAAGGTGGGGATTAGCCTAGTGAACCGCGGCGCCGGCCACCCCTAGTTTTTATCTTTAACGTATAGTGCATGATCATCTGTACTTAACCTGCTGTTTGACAGAACACCAGAACCTCGCACTCCTAACCGAAACTTAGTACCCATGAACCACTGAAACTGCCAAAAATGGTCTCTGCACCTGTTCTCCACCTGTAAGAACAGCTTCTCCCGCTGCGTTTATATAGGTAAAGACTGTGATGCAGGCTCAGTGGCAAAACCTCCCTTTTCTGTTAACACTTGTGTAATTGCAGTCCTTTATTGCATTTCTGAATTCTAAGACATAGCTGTTATATAATTTAGTCCCATGTACTATACGTATAGTATGTATGAGGATGTGAGATATGACCTACACTTAGAACAGTACGTAAAATATACGTACGGTTTAAAGCACACAGCTATGTGCTCCCCTGCCCCAGGTCAAGAGGAAGAGTGCTGCCCACTCTGTGTCCTCCTTCTAGTCAAGACTTCTTCCTCCACCGTAGGGTGTCGTGCTAATTATTCCCTGGCTTTGAGTCTGAGTCTTCATGCAAAAATACAATTTTTTTTCTTTCCAACTCAATAGCTTAAATATATAAGAAGCCTTGAGTAGTATGTTTACCTGGACTGTGATAAAATCTTCTTGACTTGATCTAACTCTAGTTGTTACTAGAATTTTCCAGAACTGGTGTTCAGTGCAGCAGATAGACTGCCCCTTGGGATGCCCACCACTTGTTTTTGAGTGGTGGGGTCAAGTCCAGGCTCTTCTCTGCATTCTAGCTCCCTGCTAACACACAGCCTGGGAGACAGCAGGTGATGGCTCAAGTACCAGGACCCTTGCACCCATGTGGGAGACCCGGATTGAGTTCCTTTCATGGCTGCTGCCTGAGCCAGGGTTAGCTGTTAAAGGCATCTGGGGAGTGAAGCAGTGGATGTGAGAACTTTCTCTCCTTGTCTTTCAAATGAAATGAAAGTAAATTAATTTTTTTTTTGGACAGGCAGAGGGGACAGTGAGAGAGACAGAGAGAAAGGTCTTCCTTTACCGTTGGTTCACCCTCCAATGGCTGCTGCAGCTGGCAAACTGCACTGATCCGAAGCCAGAAGCTTCTGCTGGTCTCCCATGGGGTGCAGGGCCCAAGGACTTGGGCCTTCCTCCACTGCACACCGGTGTCCCGACTGGGACTAGAACCCAGTGTGCCGGCGCCGCAGGCGGAGGATTAGCCTATTGAGCTGCGGCGCCAGCCTTAAACTATATTTTTAAAATTTCCCCTATCGATGTTTTTCTCTTATAATTTTTATGTTGAAATTGTAAACTTCCAGAGAAGCTATAATAATAATACTCAGGCCAGCACCACGGCTCACTAGGCTAATCCTCCGCCTAGCGGCACTGGCACCCCGGTTCTAGTCCCCATTGGGGCGCCGGATTCTGTCCAGGTTGCTCCTCTTCCAATCCAGCTCTCTGCTGTGGCCCGGGAGGGCAGTGGAGGATGGCCCAAGTGCTTGGGTCCTGCACCCACGTGAACCAGTGGATGGAAGATACCTCTCTTTGTCTTTAATTCTGCTTTTCAAATAAATCTTTGACCAAAAATAACCCCACAAATATAATGGAATAAATGTTGCAACATTGCTTAAGTAGGTGCTGTGTTCAGGATGTGGAATGTCCCTGGCTCAAGATGTGACCACCCACTCTGACACAGGCTTAGGCCATTGCCTCCTACCAACTCCACCATAGACCAAGCCAATGGGGCCACCCAATCTTGGACATAAACATCAAAACTGGGTATACAGCTGGTTGCCTTGGGTCTGTAATTGAGTTGTCGAATTTGCTTGTTTTTTTTTTTTTTTTTTATATTTATTTACTTGAAAGAGTTACACACAGAGAGAAGGAGGGGTAGAGAGAGAGAGAGGTCTTCCATCTGCTGGCTCACTCCCCAGTTGGCCGCAATGGCTGGAGTTGCACCAATCTAAAGCCAGGAGCCAAGAACCTCCTCCGGGGCTCCCACGCAGGTACAGGGGCCCAAGGACTTGGGCCATCTTCCACTGCCTTCCTGGGCCATAGCGGAGAGCTGGATAGGAAGTGGAGCAGCTGGGACTCCAACCAGCCCCAGTGATTTTCTATTTAGGAAATTCTGTTCTCAAATGAGAAGCATTTTCCCATCTATTTCTTTTTCAAATATTGCAAAGTTATAGTTGAATATCTTAAAAGACATTTTTACATGTATTGAGAAATAGAACGAAAATGAGGTAAACTATCCATATGTAAGGTAGAAAATGTCTATCTTTTAAATTCTTTTGATCTTCTGCCTTGCAGATTTTTTATATACCAAACCTTCAAAAATCTGAAAGACCTTTCTTTATCCAGTTGCCTTTACATGTATAGCTTTTATTTTACATATTTAGGAACTACACTGTTTCCTAATTACTTTTATGTCCCTTTGTAAACCAAGTATTATGTCAGTACAGAGTGTTTTTCAAGCCATTTTAGTACTTTTCATCTCTTTAAAAAATTTTATTTCATTCTTTATTCTAAACATGTATTTTACTACACCTTAAAGTAGTTGTTAGAGTTATGCTCAATTTACAAATTTGATTAGAGAAAAATTCATGAAGAAACCTTAAACTGTTG